CGCTTTTTCTCATACTTAAGTTATAATAAAGGCACGCGCACTCGAGTCGTGTATTATTAGAAATTCAGATGTTTGTGGGCAGAGAATTAAGAGTACCGGTTGCATTTTCAATAAAACCTGGGTCATTTATGCAGTTCATTTCAACAATTGTCAGGCATGAAATTATTACATTGCGAACGAAAAATGAGGGGACCACCCCCCCCCCCACACTTTTTAAGAGTATTTGGGGACGTGTCCTCTGTCTCCCCTTGATCATGGGTTTTTGAGGAGAGGCATCTTCTTCTATTTGAGATTTTTGGGAATTAGTAGACGGCCAGACGGTCTTGGATGACATCTGAAAAGTTAAACTTAAATAGAAAGTGTATGTACTACTAAATGTAACATGTATACATGAGAAACACGCACAAGACGAGTGAACATATTTTTTTTCGAGGTCACCGAAGGGGAGTGACTACCCACCCTATTTACCCCCACCTCCTAGATCCACCACTGCAACTGCGCCACATCTCCCAAGCCCTGGCCTATCTAACCTAGTACCTACCTTATAGGCCTGGACCCTGGCCTAACTAGGCCTTTGGAGGCCCCTAGCACCATCTGAATGCCAATACGCCAATATTCAAATCTAACTGATTAATTTCATAACGACTTTTATATATAATGCTCCTTTTATCTTGAAACCTATACAGTGTTCATGAGACAGACATCTTAATGGAAAAAACAACAAAATTATATTTAGGCCTATATCTAAAGACCCCTATTTTTTTCTCTTTTATTTTGATGATAATACACCAGGCTGTCACGAAATCAAACTTACGATATTTTTTGGGCGTCTGTTTGTGAAATTTACAAGGGTCTTCGTTTTATAGACACCCTATAATGGGTGTGTACAAAACGAAGACCGAAGACCCGAAAAACGAAGACCTCCAACTATTTCTCAATTATCACGCTGTTTTTATCAACATTTAACACAAAACTGTTAACAACCGTCAACATAAACTTTGGCCTACTAATCATTACAATTAATTACAATTGTATCTAATTATTAATTATATATATGTA